TTAATTGAGTAGTTAATTTTAATTTGTTCTTAAACATGTTTATATTGACATTTGCTCCTTTACTAACTACGAAGGTAGATAATGATAAATTTCATGGCCACTAGCGCTAGCTGTACCCCACACGCTTGCTGCTTATTCCATATTTATCACAGTCGAGGACAGAGAGCTGAAATTAAATCTTTTAAACTAGTGTGCATTTTGTCAATGAAGATTCGACTTGATAGTGACATTTGTTTTTCATGCGTGGACGCTTGTATGGTAAATTTGTAATTGAAGTGATTGCACTAAAAAAAAAAAAAAAGAATGAAGATTCGACTTTGATAGGTGACATTTGTTTTTTTCATGCGTTGGACGCTGTCATGGTAAATTTGTAAATTGAAGTTGATGCACTAAAAAAAAAAAAAAAGTGTTTGTATCTTCATTTTATAGGAAAAAAAAAAAAAAAAAGTGTATCTTCATTTATAGCACAGTGGTAAGTATAAGTATGATTTAAAAATTGATTATATTTTCATTTTCTTATATTTAAACTCAATCACAATAACTTTAATTTAATATAAAATTACACTAAAGGTAAAGTTGGATTACTCACTCTATTAACTTTTTTTTTTTCCCTTAAAAGTTAATTTTAAATTGGATTTAGATAATCTGAAATTACATGAAATTCCAGTGGATCAGAATCGTGTTGATTGGGTTAGAAATTAAATAATTCTCTTTCATATCTTTTTGAAAGTAAATAAATTTTACGTAGAAATTTTTTGCATCTTTCTAATGAAAAGTTGGCAGTGACAGCTAGCTTTTCTAGCTAGTTAGCGAAAAATTGAAAACTGTTCTAAACGCGTAAATTTAGAAGAAAGATGTCCTTAAAAAAGAAAAATTGGTAATGATGATGATGACATTGACGGATTCCTGAGTTGAGTGTGCTTGCTATTGCTAATTGCTATTGCTCCATACAAATTCGTAGTTATGGTCACTACCCAACCATCAGAAGACGGGAATGTAATGTTGTGTTCGGTTAGAAAAAAAAAAAAGCAATTAGATTCAGAGTAAATTGATGACCCATGATTAATATTATTAACTTATAATTTTGAAGATAGTTTTTTACAAAAAAAAAAAAAAAAAAAAAAAAAAAAAATTTTAAGATAGTTTTATTTAAAAAAAAAAAAAAAAAAAAAAAAAAAAAAAAAAAAAAAAAAAAAAAAAAAAAAAAACAATCCACATCAAGTAAATTTGGTCATGATATATGTTGTTGGTGTACGTAGATATTGTGATTCTCTAGCCAAATTCATCTCTATGGCTTTTCCAATATTGTTTGTTGGATATGAAACCTATTCATCTTTATCAGCAACAAACAGAGTTCTTTAAAGTGATTTATATCAAATTTTAATATTCTTGATAAAGAATGAAAAATTATGACGTGCAATTCTTTTTAAAGATAAACAAAGTATTTAAACATAAAAAATTTATAACCAAAACACCTATTTAGCTCAGCTGTTTATACGAATTGATAGCTGAAATCGGTTGCTGATAGCTAACGGCTAATAGCAGTTAGATGATTAATATTATGGTTTAGTAAAATTTTGATACCAATTACTGTCGAAATATAAAATGATAATTAAAGTATAATTGTTTTTAAATATTATGATATACAATTTATATATTTTATAGTAATTAATTTTTTTAATATATTATTATTTTAAAATACAATAAATCAGATAGCAAATCATCCCAAAATACAATAAATCATTTAATTTTATTTTTTCTCTTTCCGAAAAATGCTAGTCTGCCGAAAAGCTGTCATAACAATTACATTATAAATTTTTAAATACATTATGATTATATTATAAGCCCATTAAAAGACAGCCTTTTTTCATAGAAGTTATAAGTCATAGGGGGCATAAAAAAGGTAGCATGGCATCAGCTTCCAATTGGACCAGGCATTATTTGCAGGGAATCTTAATTTTCGGAAATCCTGAACACTTAACTTCCAATCAACAATTCAACTTTTCCATATATTATTCTCCTGGAACCCAAAGTCCTCCTGAAAGGAAGAGGAATTCAAAAATCAAAATTAATTATAAGCATGGCCACTCCATTTAGTCATGTCCATCGGTTCATTTTGAATCGAAACCGAACCGTATTGTAGATGAATTAAAATTGGATCGAAATCATCGGTTTAAAGTTTTGAACCAGAATTGGTGGTTCAAAGGCCGGTTAAGATTCATGTGAATGTTAAAATCTGAACCTGAATCAATCCTGAACCGTCGGTTAACCGGCAATTCCGATCCGGTTTGAATCGAAAATTTTCTATTTTAGTTTCAAAATAATATTCACTTAGCCTATTTTATACATATCTAAAAGTCTCAATAATATTTTACTACATGATATTTACTTAAGTTTTTTTTTTTAAAAAAAATATACTTTACCTTAAAAGTTAAAAATCTAAAAATTAAAATGGTAAAAAAAGAGAGAAATATTTAATCTAAACTTATATTGTTTTTAACTTTTTTTTACCCATTTAAATTGTTTACTAAATTTAAAATTACATTCTTTTGAAGCAATTTTCAAAATTTTCTTATAATTTATTTAATGAATAACATTTAAACAAAATAAAGTGATAACTTATTTGATTATTTTATAAAATTAATTAATTTTATTCTTATATGAGTATGAGCACTCTAAAATTTATTTAAAATATGCACTCTAAATTTATTTAAAATAAAATTTATCAATATTTTTAAACTCATATTATATTTTTTGAAGATGCAACGTTAGATTTCGATTTAAACAAAAAAAAAAATATATATATATATATATATATATATATAATATATATATATCGCTGGAGACCGTGATCGGAATTGCTACCAAAACCGTCGGTGGAAACATATATATCGCTGGAGACCGTGATCGGAATTGTACCAAAACCGGTCGGAACCGGAACCGACGGTTCAAGAACCGATTCAAATTCAATATTTTAAATATTTTGAACCATCAGTTCCAGTTTACAGAACGCTCGGTTCAATCAACCGGCTAAGCCTAACTTTGGTTACTTCACCATCCCACTAAGTAATATATTATAACTTTTTCAACTGTGAAGAAACCTAAAGGTGAGGTTATCAATTTGTAGCGACGGTAGATCATATGCTACATAAAATATTAAACTCTAATAAAATAGAATTCATCTTGAAGATTCTCTATTTCTAGAACTAAATACATGTATTAAAGTGAATCAAAATTGTAATGTAATAATGTCAAAAAAAAAAATTGAAATGTAATAAATAAAAAAAAATCTTTCTCAGTGCATTTTAAAAAATAGTAGTATATTCTTTTTCCTTTTGAGAATTGAAAGTATTTATATTCTTAATGCATGCATGATGTATATTCTACTTCTAGATGCAGAAATTAAGAGTCAAGTAAATATTATAAAAATGTGGAAAATTTGGAACACCTCTTTGTGGATCCATTATGGTGAATGCTATTGACATGGACAAGGTGAGTCATTGATTGCGTCAATTTGGTTCCATCACAGGCATTCAAATCTTCTACCGGAGCCCACTTAGACCATTTAATTTTTATCTTCATCGGAATTAGATATATCTGATAATAGGATCCAGATATTATATGAGAGAATTATAAAATTTTAATTTTTCATATTTTCCATGCATAACAAATTCCAAATTGTCATCTTTAAAGTATATTTCTTCTCGATAATATTTTTTTATTGTACTTAAATTAAAATTATTTCATTAACATTTTAATAATATTAATATTTAACCTTACTTTTCAGTATCTTTAAACCAACCAATACGATATTATTTATTTATATTTAACCCGTAGTATATTATCATTAGACATTCTATTTGTAAAATAACTATATATCATAAATGTTTCATTGTTATTTGATTGTGTATATCTTTTTCTTTATAAAACAAATAATTTTATTATAGTGATTCCACATTAAAAAAAAAATGCAACATGCATCGTAATATAATTCAGATATTAGAAATTAAAATCTATATATCTTATAATAAATTATATAATTTTCATAAAATAGTTGTAAATTTTAATGAAAGTGGCTTTTCCTAAATCGCAGTTGTAGATCTTTGCTACTTTTTATTACATTGTCATCTCCATCGTATAACACATATATTAAATCTCTTTTGAGTGGGAATTTTCAGTTTGCACTTCCCACATTTATACTAAATCACTGTAACAAAATATAACAAGTGCAAAGTTTTAAATTGTCAAATATGAATAATACTTTGATATATAATATGCTATAAAATATTTATGATAATATTACTAATTACTTTTAGTTAAGGAGAGGTTTTAATTATACATGGGATAATATTTCTGTTAATTCTTATTACCATTTAATTTTTGTCTATTAACAATGTGCAATATGTAGATCTTAATGTGAAAAAGGGGTAATTTTTTATAATTACAAAGGAAAAATACAGTTAGGTCCCTAATTTATATCTTAATTAATATTTTTGTCTCTTATGTTTAAAAAATTACTATAAAGTCCTTAAAATTCGCTTAAACTCAATATCATGTCCTGTCCAAAAAATTAATATTTTTATCTTAGCTAAACACATTTTTTTGATAGAATATGCTCAATTTTTTTTTTTTTTTTTTACGTAAAGTACTACTAGTGAATTTGAGCAAAATAGAGGAATAAAAGTATTAATTAGAGTATAAGTTAAGGATCCAATTATAATTCTATCTAATTTTATGCATCTAAGAATGCTATTTTCGGAGTACTACGAGGCAATATTGAATTTTGGTTGATTAAAAAAAAAAATTCTCATCCTTATTAATTGGATAGGTTCCATTAAACTAATGAGATTATATATATTAGTTGTAAATATTAAATCAGTTAATCTCTTTCTACAATCAAGCATATGAATTGGATGTTCTTTATGTCCAATCCGTTATTTTACTACATTTGCATTTTATTTCATTATTATTCTTTATCTTTTGGACGTCGATCTTTATCGTTAATTAACAACTCTGCAGGTTCTCCTGATCTGGCCATGTGGGTAAATCAGTGGACTAAGATTTCCCATCTTGATCATTGCATCTGCAAAATCTCTAAAGAAAGACGTTGCGTTAGAGCTATAAGCTCGAACCTGAGAGTCTGTACCACCTCCATTAAAGAGTTGCTGGTCTGAGTGCAAAAGACCGTTTTGGCTCAACAAACTGGTGAAATAAGAATTGTCAAAAGTTGTCGGAGTTGTGACACTGAGATCAGCCAGATTATCATCTCCTCCAGAAAATGGACAATTCTTCCTTAATGAAGCTGCATATGAAGAATTTATGTTTGATTCATTGTAAATCCTACCTCGGAAGTTTACACATCTTGCTTTGCCAATTGTGTGAGCTCCTGCCACAATAATTATACATCAGAGAGCATTACTATAGGTTTTCAGGGATAGAACTTCTTGACTAGAAGTTCTTGTCTACCAAAAAACGTACCAGTTCTTGAATAGGAGTCTTAAAAACACACCTGAGAGAGCTACCAGTTCTTTGATGTTGAACCCTTTGGCCGCAAAATTGGGGATAAGTAGGCTGAGATCAAAAGTTGGGGGAGGGAGGTTGAGAGCCGGTGCAATAGAACTTGCAGTGAGTGAATCTCTTCTGCCCACTCGAACTGTCCAGCTAGGTCCACCAAACTGTATAACATATTACAAGATTTTGAGAATTTTTTATTAACACATTCCAATTGTTTAAGAGTGAACTAAGTTCACGAAACATCCACACTTGTGAGCTCTGAAAAGAATTGAGGTTTCCCTTTCTCTCAAGGTCACTAGTAGAGTAACTTTACATTACCCCATAGTCGAGCCATAGTCAGTTAACCGCCAAATTTAATGGCTACTAGTATAAAATATAGGAAAGCAAGAAATAGAATATGAATATTTGAACTTACAGCAACAACAGAGTCTCGAGAAGCAACAGCTAAGATGTCTGCACAAGAGAGTACACCAGGACATGAACTTTCCAATTGGTATTTAATTGAGTCAATTATTTCGAAACCTTTCAAAGAATTGATATTAGGTATTGATGTTTTCTCTCCCAATAAGCCATCCAACAACACTGATGCATCACATCTCTGTTCATATCCATTAAGCTAATTATGATATTTTTTCTTTGAGCGTCTTATTTCTCAATTACCCAATTATATATCAATTACCCAATTATATATAATATATATATATATATATATAAATATATATATATAACAATCTAGCTGTGATATATAAACAAATCTAGCTTGTGGTTGCATTAGTTTTATCATATTTTAAAAGATTAGCAAGTGGAAAGTTTCAAGTTTAAATCCTCCCATCGTAAATAAAATTAAAATGCAGAATTCATTTTATAAATTATAAAATCTACCACATTTATGTTGAGTCATAAAATTAAATTCATTCAACCATGAAATTTATATTTTCATTTATAATAAACATTAAAAACATGAAATTTCATGAAGTTATACGTAAATACATGCAAAAATACATTCACGAGAAAGAATAATAAGAAAAAGAGAGATTAATTACGTTAACAACGCAATCATGGAAGTGAAGACGAAGCAAAGAAGCCCCATTGCAAGTTTCATTTGCCACAGCACTCTTCACAGCTGATTTAATGACAGGAAGGACATTAGGGCATGTCTTAGCATAGTAATCAGGAGATAACTGAGCAGAAACTATTCCAACAAAAACTAAAAATGCCTCTACTCGCAACTTGAAGGCATTGATCATGGTTAATCAGTTTGAACAATAAGATTGAGATTATTGCAAGTAACTGAAGAACCTATATCTATATTTATAGGATAAGGTTAAATAGTGACGAATATATATTTCCATTTTTGTATATTTTATTATTTTACCTAATATGACATCTTAAAATATTCATAAATAGATATGAATTAATTATTAAATTTAATATCATTATTCTTTCATTAATAATATTCGTATATGTCAACTCTCTCAGTTCAATTAATTGTATCCGTTGGTCCTTAATTTATAACTATTTTCCTTTATCGGCACTAAATTTTAATTTGTTCTTTAAAAATTCATTTCCTTATAAAAGTATAACAGTAAAATAACTCTTCCACTTGAATTGAATTTCGATGGTTGGAATAATATATGGGATATTGAAAAAAAAAAATTAAACAAGTCAGGAGATAGCTCCATTCTCTCTGTCCTTGAATTGGGCATTTCACTATTGATTATTGTTGATTTCCAACTTTAATTTGATAATTTTGTGGACATCAAGTTAATTGATTATGATTTACAATTTTGCAATATAATATAATAATAAAATAATAATATATGTTTAAAGGGTTTGATTTGCAATTAAACTTACAATAATCATATAATGAAGTATATTTTTTACTAAGTCACTCTAAACATTTTTTTCATTTTTTCATTCAAAATAAATTTTAAATTAATCTAAAAATTAATTTTAGAATATATAAATTCAATATTCAATAGAAACTTATAAACTGAAAATTTATTAAAAAAGTTCACTATTTTTCTAATAAAATATATATATAAAAAGATTATCTTGTTATTTAGACTGTAGGTGTTTGGTAAGTTTTTAATCAGCAACTGATAGTTGATGATCTCAATCGGTTTCTAATTCTATAAACTACACTTTGGAATTTTTTCGTATCAAATCTCGAGTTCCTATTTTTTTTTTCTCAATGAATAGTTAAAAATACTCTCGTTACATTAAATTTGTTTTTGATTGGTTTAATGTATGGAGCAGGTCCATACACCAAGTGTAGGTAAATGTTTCTCTCAATACCATATATCTCGATATGGCATTCGGATAATCGAAATTTTATTAATTCCGACAAACTTATTTTACTACTGTATTAATGAAAATTTATATATTTTTGAGGGATAAATTTTTTTTTGAATATTAGGGAGAAAGATTCGAACCTAAATATATAGTCAGGTCGTAAATGCACTTATCACTTGGTTGTACCTTGCTATACATTGGGCGACAAATTAAACTTTAGACATCATAAAGAAAAATGAGACATATATTACCACAGGTCAAAAAATTAAGCCCAACACTCTCCATGCAAAAGGATATAAAAGGGTTAGAGGATTAAATTATCTAGAGGATATGTAGATCATAGACATAGATGCTAGTTGCTAGCTAGGGACCGACGTACATAGTGTTAAGATACCATTAGCCAAGTCAAGACGTAGATATAATCTTGGCTCAAATCCATGCTGTTAATATTTTACTGTTTCTGCAATTTGTTATATTTCTTGATCTTTGTTATTTACTTTGATTTTCTTTGATTTGATTAGGTTTGTAATATCTTTGTTATTTACTTTGATTTTCTTTGATTGATTAGTTTGTTAATTCCTTTAATGTGTAGCTGATTCATCTCTTGTAATAGCTATTTAAAAGCCACCAGTCTTTCAATTGGCAAATATATAAGAAAACCACTTCCATAATTCTGGATTTCCTCTTATTTTCATTCATATACATGGTATCAAAGCAAAAACCCATGGCTGAATTAACAAACCAATTCTTCTCACATTAAACTAATGCCTAGCACTCCTTTCTGTAACCAATTTTCTTCTCATCATACTAATGCCTAGCACTCCTTTTCTGTCAAACTAAAATCATCAAACTATCTAGCCTGGAAAACTCAATTCCAACCCCTCCTCAACTATCACAATCTTAATCATCTCATTGATGGCTCCCTCCTACCCCCAAAAACAATTAAATCCCCATCTAATCCAGCTATTGATATTCCAAATCCGGAATACACGACTTGGTTCAAACAAGACCAGCTTCTACACTCTTGGCTTCACTCCTCTCTCTCTGAAGAAGTCTTTCCATATATTATTGGGATAAATTCCTCTCGAGAAGTCTGGCAAGCTTTAGCTCAATCTTTCGGTTCTGTCTCTCAAAACCTACAACTTCAAATTCACATTGAACTTCAAAAGCTCAAGAAAAATGATCTGTCAATCTCTGCTTATCTCCAATGTGCAAAGGCACTCAAAGACGAATTACATGCTACTAGCCGACCCCTCTCTACGGCTGAATTCAATGCCATTATTTACAGAAATATGGTTTCGAATATCACAACATCATTACTGCCTTGAACCTTCACCCCGACCTTGTTCCTTTTCATGAGCTTCATGGACAACTTGTTGCTCATGAAATACTTCTTAAAAGTTGTCATGAACCACCTCAAGCAAATATGGCATCTCGACATTTCAATAATAATTCACTTCCTTCGCTACTCCCATCACCAAATTCGAACCCTAATTGGCAATGAAATTCCAATTCTAAACCCAAAGGCCCTTGTCAAATATGTGGATTATAAAACCATACTACAGATAAATGTCGTCACTACTACAAAAGACAAAATTAAAATGCAAATCAACACCAAATCACTCAACAACTGATGGCAAATTATTCATACAATTACCCACCACCACCTTTCCCTTACTACCCCATGTTCAATCACTATCCACCCCCATCACCAGTAGTAAACTACTCCAACACATCACCTAACAAAAATAATTGGCATCCTGATACTGCAGCCAATTGTCATGTCACCCCATACATTCAATCATTAAGTACAACTGCTAAATACCAAGGTACGGATAATCTTCATGTCGAAAATGATGTTGGCTTGCCAATTTCTCACACTAGTACAATTACTATTTCTTCTCCTAATGGTCCTCTTCTTCTAAAAGATACTCTATATGTTCCCAAAATTGTCAAAAATCTTTTGTCTGTCCAAAAATTCACCACTGATAATTGTTGTTTTTTTGAATTTTGGCCTCACTGTTTCTTTATTAAGGATCAGGTCACTAGGAGAATTCTTCTGGAGGGTCCAAGTGAAGATGGTATCTGCACCCTTAAATCACCTCTCAAGTCTGCCCTAACAGCTACCGTCCCGTCATTTTCTGATTGGCACTCTGCCTTGGGTCACCCCTATCGTCGAACAGTGTTCAAAATAATAAAAGACTTTAAGTTGCCTTGTTCTAGTTTTGATTTTACTCCTTATTCTGCGTGTAATTTAGGGAAATTGTCCAAAATATCTTTAGCGTCAGTTGAACATAAAAGCACAAGTCCCTTTCAAATAATTCATTCTGATATTTGGAGCCCTGCACCTATTGTTTCTAGCCTAGGTCATAAGTATGTTCTTTTGTTTATCAATGATTATACTCGATTTACATGGGTATATTTGCTCAAAAATAAAAGTGAAGTTTACAATTTTTTTCTTCAATTTCAGTCACTTATAAAGCATCAGTTCAATTCTAAAATATTGGCTTTTCATTCAGATTGGGTAGGGGAGTATCAAAAATTAAATAAATATTTTCAACAAAATGGGACAATCCATAGAATAACATGTCCTTATACCCATGAATAAAACGGCCCTGCTGAAAGAAAAATTCGTCATGTTGTTGATACTACACTCACCTTACTGTCACATATAAAAATCCCATTAAAATTCTGGAATTATGCAGCTAAAAGTAGAGTCCAATCTATCAATATTTTACCTTCTCCAACATTACAAAATAGAAGTTGACAGTGATTTTCGCAAGTGTACGAAATCGCTACAAGTAATATAGAATGAGTAGAGTATCGTATCCACATGGATTGTATACCAAGTATCAAAATTATCCATGTATTAATTTAAGAACAATAAATGAGGAGAATGGTGTTGCAGAATGTAAAAATAAACCAAAGAGTCCCAGTTAACAAAAATAATTGATTAAAAAAGAAAATCCAAGGAATTGAAAACTACTAGGGTTTTTTGATTTCATTAATTCTATCCAATTATTTCATTATTCTTAATCAATTTAATTAAATCAAGAAGGGAAACAACTCGAATTCACTAACAAGCTCCCGAAGTATTGCAGCTATTTAATTCCAATGTAAATTACCTATCTTTCCCATATAGCGCAATCAAGAGTATAAACTAAATCATTAAGTTTGTAGTTGTTATGAATTTACATTTAAGGTTGATAAATCATAACCCCCCATTGAGTCAAACCATATAGCTCCGCATACAAGTTTATATCCATCGGTTTTATTAACCTTATTCATATCAAGATCATTCTCCGATAGTGATAATTGAAATAAATCAATTCTAAGGGGAAAATTCTGCCTAGAAGCCATTAAAGTTCATTAATAAATCAATATGAAAAGGAAAAAATCTAATTGCATAAAAGATTGGAAGAGATTAAGCCTCATCAAAAACCCCTAGTAAATAAGAATTTAGTTACATCCATAGTAACTTAAATAAAAACCCCAATAAATACTTGAATGAAATATTCCATAATTCAATAAGAAATGAAAGAAATAACCAAGATAAGAGTTTATGAAATAAGAGACTAGTGAAAATTGGCTTGATGGCTTCCCTTGAAACTTGCACAACTCTTTGAATACTTAACTCAAAAAAAACTAATACAAAGCTATAAAATGAGAGAAGAAGTAGGAGTGGTAGTGTAAGTGTGGGGATGGGATTTTACAAAGCTGCCCTTCCTCTCCTTTTATATAGATCTCCTGGGTAGAGAATTCTACATTGTTTAGGGAATAAATTCCCCTTGTTATGGATAAAAGTCCTCAATCAGCCTGATTTCTCTCAATGCATTCTTCCATGGCCATAAATTAAGGCTGATTGTAATGTAAAGAAAGTTGTCCAAGAATACTCTTGAAATGGTGTGGAAAGTGGCAAATTGACAAAGATTAAGTCTTTAAATCTTTGGGC